CTTCCTTCCTTCCTTCCTTCCTTCCTTCCTTCCTTCCTTCCTTCCTTTCTTTCTTTCTTTCTTTTTCTTTCTCTCTCTCCTTCCCTCCCTCCCTCCCTTCCTCCCTCTCTCTTTCCCTCTCCAATGATGTGATAAGGGGAAATGGGGTTTTAGACCACATGATGCAATTATATCCCATTCTGAATTCCGATGACTTGCCTAATTTTGGTTTGCAGGAAAAAAAAAAGCATCCCTCACATTTTCTGTTTCAGAAACAGCTTTTTCATGTATAAAATTTTCCTTCAATCTAACAGGCATCTGACTTTCAGTTTTTGAATATTACTTTTCCCCTTTCAAAAAAGAATCCTGATTTTCAATTTCATATCCAGGAACTTTAGGATTTCTATCTGTGATGCTTTAGATTTACTCTAACATTATGCACAGTAGATAGTGGCACTCTATTACAAATGTCCATATCTCTCTATAACTTCTTTGGCAATCTGGGTTTTCTGATCAGAAAAATCATTGTGGGATGAGTCATGTTTTCGTCTGGGATTTAATTGATGTTTGGGAAGCCAAGAAGGCTACAGACAACCAGAGAAAAGTTTGCCAAATGAAAGACCAGGCATTTACACATGACATTAGATTCTCCCGTCATCTCATAACTAAAGCAAATGTAAAATCTAAGCACTCCACTGATCAGAATTGTACTAATATTTTTGTGTCCCTTTGGGAGAAGAAGGGAACAACATTTCTTTTTCATCAAATTGAAGAAGAGTGGCAGATAATTTTTATCTTCCAGGGAACTCTATGGTGGATCTAGGACAGTGGTTTTTAGCAGAATTAAATGCTCAGTAGGACTCATTGGGTAACACACTTATCACTGCTGTGTAAGATTGTAACAGACCACAACCCACCTAAAATAATGTGCAATTCTCTATAAATTAATATAAAGGAACTTAATCTATGGGTAAAATCATATTGGACATATTGCTTATACCTAGGACTTTTGGAATAGTGGGGTGTCAGCAATTCAATTAGGCTCGGGCTGTAATTCATTACCCATTCTTCCCAAAGGCCTATGGTTTACCTATTTAACCATAGCTGATAAAGTTTATTTGGGCTAACTTTGTACAAGTAGTCCTTGACCTATTCATTTAGTAAATGTTCAAAGTTACACAATGTCTCTGAAAAGAGTGACTCACAGCCATTTTTCACACTTATGATCATTGCAGTATCCCCATGGTCATGTGATCAAAATTCAGGTGCTTGGCAATTGGCTCATATTTATGATGGTTGCAGCATCCTGGAGTCATGTGATCATCTTTTGTGACCTTCTGATAAGCAAAGTCAATGGGGAAACCAGTTTCCCCTAACGACCATGTTACTAACTTACCAACTGCAGTGATTCACTTAGGAACTGTGGTAAGGCAAGTCGTAAAATGGGACAAAACTCAGTTAACAAATGTTTCATCTAGCAACAGAAATTTTGGGGTCAGTTGTGGTCGTACATTGAAGAATACCTGTGTAGGGTTTCAATGCTTGTTCAATTTTCATTTAAGATCCCAATGCATTTGACTCAGCAGTCTATTTAGCTTGATATTGGAAGGAATAATTTTCATTGTTAAAAAAAAATATGCATTGCAGATGGCTGATTCTGATTTTAATGATCCATAAGGATCCTGAGAATCATTGACTAACTTTCCAAAACTGTACAGCACTCCATAAATGGGATTGGAGTCCCTTCAGAAACTAGCTTCTGCTCATGTAGTTTAATTCTAGTACTGCAGTTTTTAAATCTTTCTACTTTAAAAACAGATAAATTTCTGTTGATTTTTTTTTCTTTTCCAGGGGAAAAGTGGTGGGAAAAATCTTTTTCCCCTCTCTGTAACATATCCCTAATAGTTCTACGAGATGGGTTAGCACACTTCTGGATGAGAATTTCTTTCTCACAGCTAGTATATGAAGCATCTTGTGCATACCATATTTCCCTTAGCGAGGAAGTGGTACAGGGACTTGTGTAAACCTCCTGTCTTTCATTGTGCGATAATCACTTCAGTGTAGTGCAGCTCCCCTGGTTAGTTAAACATCAGTTAAATATCCCAGACAATCAAATTGGGCTTTTTTCAGATGGAAAGTGGAAGGGAGGGAAAAACAGGAAGAAACCAGAGTAAGAAAGAGTTCTATAACAAAGACAAAATAGGAGCAGTTTGCTTTGGGAACATAAAGTTGCTCAAAATACCACCCATTTAAATTTTAGAGTAGCTTGAAAATGAGATAGAAAATAAGACCAGAAAAGAAATTTTCTTCTTTCTAAGAAGAAGAAAATTTTCAGAAAATTATAGTATGGCATTACTTTGAATGTTGTTCTCAGTAATCTTTGTATGAATTTTGTCTTTTAAAATACTGCCTTATTCCATATTTGTTGATCTGCAGATACCTAAACATAACATGTAGACTGATATGTATGCAGCAATTGTATACACAGTACTTGCCTATTTGAAATATGTGAGAGAAAGGATATGTTCCTATTCTAATTGCTATTGCTACATATTCAACACCAGCCCATTGTTTTGCACTTGACTGCAAATACAGAATATCTATAAAATGTTTTTTTTTTAAATTCATTTCACATGCTGTAATTTCTGGGGGAAGTGAGAGGAAATAATTGATTGACCTCTAGGAGAATTGCATTAATTTCAGAATTGGTTCCAAAACTTATTTAAAATAAACTATTCAATAAAATTTACTTAATGGTGCTTACTTCCCACTTGGATTGAGGCCTTAGGATTTAGTGCAACTTGTTAACTTATCAATCAACATTATTTGTAGGGTGTATACAACTGTAGAAGGTCTCATAGACTCTAGATTGCCGGCCCAGCTATTGTATCTTGAATATACAGTAATAAAAATAGACTTATGCTGGACGCATAATGTGCACATAGACAGATAAAGATGAAGAGAGAGATCTTAGATAGGCAGCTTTAAAATTGTAAATATGTGGCAATTGTTTTTTTTTTCCTATTGTGTTTGAAATTTAGTCCTTGGGGCAAAACTCCCACTAAAATTAGAATAATTTCACAATTGGCTAGAATTTTAATTTATTATATTGGGATCCCATCATTCATCTGAGAGCTCAAAGTGGAACAGGTGAGAAGATGTGTCTCTTTGTTGATCCTAAAAGAAGAGCCCTGGGCCAGTTAGTTAGGCCAGAACAGTTAGGCCAAGATTGACACAGGTTAGCTCCAGAATGACACAGTGAGGTTTTTTTTTTTTTGCCTGTCTTCCTCATCCAAACACAATACCTTCATCACTTTATCAAAGTGGTTGTCATTTTCCTATTCTTTGTCAAACTCATGGAAAATGTTAGATGGTAGAGTGACTTAAAGGTTGGTAAGCATGGGTGACCTACGGTTTAGAAGTCTAAATCTCTCCTGTGTCTAGTAGAATTAAAACAGAAGTGTGGATTGAAATTATTTGATATGTATAATTTCAACTCCCTATTAGCATATATGGATTTTTTATTAGAGGAGCATTGCTTTGCCAGTGGCCTTGTTGAGAATTATTTCATAGACCCAGATATATGATGAATTCATGATGAATTCCATCCACTGGTTAGTGTAATTCCCCATTTGTTTACTTTGTGGGATCTTGATGGAAGACTTCTTTTAAAGTATGCTACTTGCAGATTTGTAAAAAAAGCAGAACCCACCACGAGACCAATAGGCATAGAATAAATCTGCAGAATTGGTCCAAAATACTTGGTGAGGCCCATACCATTCCCTGACATACTCAGGTTTTTTTGTGCACCCTAGGCAGAAAACCTCTTCCTGGCTCTGTCAATAATCGTCTCCAAACATTTTCTTCCATTCTCTGATGCTTCCAAATAAGCTGCCAATTGCAGTTCTCTTTGTCCCCATATCCTGAATTGCTCTAAAATGGAAACATTCAAAATTCTCTCCATCTGCTTCATCTGGAACCATTTTCTTCAGGCTGAATAGGTTTTACCACCCACTCCCTACTGGTATCAGTATATTGTCAGTGCAATACAAACTAGCAGTGTTTAATCAGAATTCTGTTTTACTGCATTTAACAATATAACAATTCATGGGGCTGTAGCCTTTCTTTACAGCAGGGGTCCCAAAACTGTTCAGTTCTTGAAGCCTTCCCTAAAGTTTCAGATTCCACATTGGTCCCCACCATTTATTATATGAAAATAATTGAACTCATTGTACGTTCACAGTACTGCGAGTAACATAAACAACTGTCTCTTGGCTAGTCTCATCAACCCTTGGGTGTCAATATTGACTACTTTGGAGAACTCTGTTTTAGAGTCATATTCCTTTCATCACTCCTTGAAATACTAGTGTAAAACTGACACGTGGATTAGAATAGAATTCTTTATTGGCCAAGTGTGGTTGGATACACAAGGAATTTGTCTTGGTACATTAATATCTTGACTGCTCAATATTTGGTGGAATCCAAGGTGGTTTGGAAAACATTACATATCAAATTTAGTGGCTTTTACTATATGGGAATTGCTTAATGTTGTCTTTCCATTTCTCCTTATTCTAGTCATAATTGCCGATTTTACCTCATGTTCTCAGTGATCCAATTTTCCATTTGGAATATGTTCCCAAACCTGCTGGCATAGTTCATGATTAACTCAGGGTCACTTTGTGAAATGGAAGGCAACAAATAAATAAACAAATAACAGTTTATTTATGTAAATAAGTACATAAATAAATTAAAGGAGTTTAACTCAGAAATCCCTTGTTTTCCCATTCTTACCCTGGGATTTTGATTGGGGAGAAAATTGTAGCCGTTTGCACATAAGAAAGAAGCTGAACACAAAACAGATGAGATTTACGTGGGATGAGAAGGTTAGCATGGGTGCATTTTTACATGACTCTTTTGGGTAACATTTATGTAATGTGGACACCTCTAAGTAAGAATTTGCCCTGAAGAAACATAACCAGTGATGTTTTGAAAGCCAGAAAAACAAAGACGTTGGATTTGATCTAAGCTTTCTTACACTTGTCATAGATCCATGACATCCTTGGAAGCTAGTAATAAATGAGGTCCCATTAATCTCCAGTACAACTAAATCTGGATCCAATCCTTTTCCTTTTCTTCGTTGTAAACTTTCTTTCTTTCTCTCTCTCTTTAAACATGTTTGGCAGGTTAATTTTTCAGAAGGAGGCCCAGGTTCCAATTCCACCGGAAGTGAGGTAGCATCTATGTCCTCCCAACTCCCGGATACACCTAACAGCATGGTAGCCAGTCCAATTGAGGCATGAGAACTTCCTTGCGCTGTTGTGGGCCTTGAAACCTTTCGCCCCCTGCTGGAGAGAGTGGGAAAGCTGTCAAGTTTGGGGACTCGAGACAAAAATGTAGAAAAAGGAAGGAAGGAAGGAAGGAAGGAAAAACAAAAAGTATTTAAGACAACTTTATTCATGAACCTAAAGCAAAGAAAACTCCGTGAACTGTCTTGGGGAGTCTTGTTCAGTTTTTTTGTTTGTTTGTTTGTTTTGCAATGATAAGGTAGCAACACTGTGAAGACAATCATGGGATCTAATAATACTCCAAGAACAAATGAAAATGCTGTTCACATGATGATGATGATGATGATGATGATGGTGGTGATGATGATGATGATGACAGTATATCCACGCCAAAAAAAAATCATAGGCGGATCAAAGAAAACCAGAAAAAGATGTTTGAGAAACAGAGAGGATTTGTACCCACAAGGATCTCCTATTTTTGCCCCAAATGGCATATTTCGGTGACTGCACATCCTGAAGGAATGAATAAATAAGTAAATAAATAAATAAATGGAAAGAAAAAAACGGAAAAGAACAGAAAAAGAAAGAGAAAGAAAGAAAGAAAGAAAAAGAAAGAAAGAAAGAAAGAAAGAATTCATTAGTAGTGATTGTTTTAACATGAACGGTGCTCTTTCTACACTGACCTTCCCTTTGCCAAATTAAATTAATGTTTAAAAAGAAATGAGAAAGAGCCCTGGTAGATTGCATTTTCCCAGATCAAAAAGGGACCACTGTAGCTTCTCCCCTCCCCCCTTATGACAGAATGAGCCATTATGAAGCTGTGGAGCTGGGTCTTTCTTTCTTTCTTTCTTTCTTTCTTTCTTTCTTTCTTTCTTTCTTTCTTTCTTTCTTTCTTTTTCTTTCTTTCTGTCCTTTCTTTCTCTTTCTTTCTTTCTCTTTCTTTCCTCAGACTTATTCCAACTTTTGGGGTTTTCCCTAGCATGTACTGTAGCTTTTTCTTCTTTCCCCTTCCTTTTATTTTTATTTTTCACCTGCTTGGAGGCAAAGTTTTGGTGAGATTCTCTGTTCTCTCCCCAAGTGATTTCTTTTAAAAAGAACTTTTGTTTTCTTTCTTAAACTCCAGTCAAAAACTTCCCATGCAACAAGGTATACCTCTCTTTGGCTATTAAAAAAAAAAGTATGCTGGGTGTTGTTTCTGACTGTTCAATAACATTCCCCCTCCTTTTTCCCAAAGATGTGTATAGTTCTTCATTTTATTATTTTTTTTAAAGATTTTTCTTCTTCTTCCTATTTTCTTTGCTGGAAATAAGGAGCAGGGTTTTGCCTCTCTCTCTTTTTTTTTTCTCTTTCTCTCCCAAACCCCCTCTTTCTTAAACTTCATTGTTTGTTTGTCTTGCATTGCAAAAAATATATATAAAGTAATTTATTATTTATTATCCAAAGACTTGCCACTTTTTTATTGTCCTGATTTGTGTTGGTTGTTTTGTTTGGCTGATTTTTTTAAAGGGTGAGTGATAATTCTTCTCCACAAGACCTGGTACAAAAAATAAAATGCTAACATAACGAAGGTGAGACATCATTTATGCAGGAGGAACTATGGGTGGATCTCACCCAAAACAGTATGAAGGGTGGGGAGAGTTATTTTGTTACCCCTCCCTGTCTTTGAATGTTTGTGTCAGGTTTGTGGAGCTTTTAAAACTTTCTAATGGTTTGGGTTTTTTTGTTTTTGAGTTCTCTCTTCCTAAATATTCCGTGAAATAAATGCGCCATATGTAAAGTTATAACTTCAGGAAGAATTTCACTCCATACACATTTGGTATAGAGAAACAATAAACTAATTAAGACTTACCAAAGTACCCTCTTTTATACATGTATACTATAAAGAGTTACTATACTATATTTATATATGAATGCATTGCAGTTAGCTGCTAAATACTGAATACAAAACATTACATTCTAAGCTTGGAAAAAACTCTGTGTAATATTTTATGAAGTGTATCAAGAGCTAGCTTATAAATTTCTAGATCAGAGATTTAAAAAAACAAACAAAACCCCAGTAAGCTTCACCTTTCCCTTTAAGAATTGTGGTACTGGAAAAGTCCAAGTGTATTTTGGACTAAATATGGTTAGCTTTTTTTCCCCTGCCACCCTTGTATCAATTTAGCAGCTATTTCAAAAAAAGTGGGGATTATCCCGCAAACAACGTGAAGACTTAAACTGAAAGGGAAAGCATAAAGGGGACAAACTCATATTTGTTTACAATTCAATAAATCCACTTTGGTGCCGGGGTCGTGGGAAGTGGCCCTTTCTTCTCCCCCAAGGAACATATGAACCTGAGAATGTACCTCCCTTCCCTCTCCTCCCCTCCCCGCAATCTCAAGGAAAATGTAGAGTTTTAAAAATATATATGTATCTTGAGAAACATCTGGACTACCGGTTCATTATTTTTTGTTTACGTGATCTCTCTCGATCTCCCTCTCCCTCTCTCTCTCTCTCTCCCTCTCCCTCCCTCCCACCCTCCCCTGGGAAGTGTCTGTGCGTTGTGGGGTAGGCGGGGGTGGTGGCTTTTGTTCAGAAGCTAAACAATGACTGTTATTTGTCACTGTCTGTTGTCAACAGAATTGGAAATGCTGCAGGGGGATTCTGACTGGAGAGGGCTCCGAAGATCCTTGTTTGTTGTTTTTCTTTCGGCTTCCTCTTTTTTTCTTTTTTTCTTTCGTGCTTTAGGTTGGTGGGGGAGTGGGACAGAGGCTGGGCTCAGTGGTGAAAACTGGGAAGGCGATAAGCGCGGTAGGGTGGGAGGCGCGGGGCTCTGTGCATCTTGAAAGGTGGCGGGGTGAGTTTCTGGGTGTGGGTGTGCACAGCGGCCCTCCGCGTCCGTTAAAGCCGCGGTTTAGGTTGCAACCGTGCACGCGCTCTCTGGGCTTCCGTCAATCCTGTGGGCCTTTCTAGATTTGCTTCTGGATAAAAGCTACGGTGGATTTGCAGCCTGGATGAATCTTGTGGTACTCCAGGGGTTTTTACTCCCGAGTAGGCGCACCTGAGCTTGCCCTGCCTTTAATTCTGTTTAGTTTATTTCACCACCCTGGGTGTAAATCGTCTCTCCCTCCCACCCCCGCTTCCAACTTGATTGAAAATCCTTTCCACTTCCCATCTTGCAAAAAGCGAAGGTGAATTTGGCTTCTCCCTGAGAGACTAGGCGGTTTAGGTATTTATTTGGGTTGGCCGAGATTCCCGAAGCAGTTAAGCCGCGTGTATGGCGGGAGCGGTACGTTTGCTATTTCGGGTTTTGTTTGAATCGATGCCGTTTGCCTTTGTTGTTCCCTGTATTGAGCGAACGCAGAAAATGGGCTTATTTCGGCAACCGGGTGAAAGGCGTTGTGGGAACGCGGCTAAACGGGGCTGTATTTACCTGCCTTGCTGAGGTTGGCCTGGGAGTAAGGATACTTGCCCGTCTTTTGCTCTAACTCTCGGAACAGAAGGGTTATTACCGCAACATTTTCCTACCTGGTGCTTCTCAGACGTGCTTGGTTCACAGTGGGCTGGGATCAATGGGACCTGTAGTCCAACATATCTGAAAAGTAACATGGCGGGAAACCAGTTTGATAGTAAGGAGCCTCAAAAGGAAATTTGAAAAAAGAGCAATTGGAAGAACCGATAGACCTTTAATTTTTTTTTGAAGTATATATTTATATATATATATTCTGCGGAGTTAATCCATTTTGGGGAGGTTAGCACAAACCACTGAACCGAACTAAATTGGGAGACAGGTTCTCACACATCCCAGGTTAAAACCAGCCGAGCTTAGGATGCTGTGAGAATGCGACCACCGGGTTTTCGACTGGATTCGTGTTTAAACGAATCGTGTGAACCCGACCACCGATTTGAAAGTGGCCCGAAAAGCGCCGGCGCTGCCACCTCCCTGTTATCTCGGAGGTTCCCAAGCGGTGCCCAGCTGCAATGGAAGAACTCTTTGGACTCTCGTGGTGGGTGGTGCGCCTTCGTGAGCGAAAAATATTCGTTTGCTTTTCGCAAGTATCTTGGTTGTCCTTCCTCGGCCTTGCAGGTATCATCTCAGCTGCCTTTCCTCGGCTTGAGATGACTTTTGGGGAGCGCCTGAAAAGAAGAGGCTTCGCTTGTCCCGGAGTGTTGAAAATGGCATTCCCGAACAATGTTCGGAATATTGCTGGTCTGTAGCCTCCAGGTCGGCAGGGCGCTAAAGATCTCGGAGGGAGGGAATCTATGTGCGAGCATTTATCTCACCCGCATTAAGTGGAAACGGTCTCACCACCTATGGGGCGTTCAGAGCGCTTTTTCACACGGGGAAAGTTGGGGGTATAAGAAGCAAAACACCGGGGAATAAAATTTAAAACGCATTTAAAAAGCGGTTTTGAAAAAAAAAAAGGTGGGGGGGAGAAGTTGGTGCTTATGTTCATCTTGATGGCACATGGACATACACACGATGTTCTACTTGGGGAAAGAGTAGTTGAACTCCGCTTCTGACCTGCGACTTTGCACAGTGAGAAATGCAGTCCCGCGTTTGCCCAGGCTGAAGCCAATCCTAACTGAAGAATATATGGGTGTTATTCCAATTGAGACTTCTATAAGGGTGTTTCCGTCTTACCAGCTCAGCCCAGCTGGTTGAAGACAGCGAGATGTAGGTACAGTATATCAAATTTTGCTCTAAGTAGGATTTTTTTTTTAAACTGACGATGAAGTCGTTCGTCAGACCAGTCTGTTTTCTCCTTTCCGTCGACTAGAAATCGCATGTGGTTTGTATTCACAAGTCGATTCTTTTCTTTGTAAAAACATGCTTATTTTATTGCGGATAGGTCGGATAAATAGTTTCTCGACCGCCAATTAATTCGAGTTTTCAGACAGATTATTGCAACGGGGCTATCCAAATATTTCTATTAATATTTTATACATGCCGGCTCAGGTAAGCAGAAGGTTTCTTTCTTTTAGTTCTTTACCTGCCAGCTTGATTGGCAGCGTAGCTCCGGACCCCGAGCTGC